GATTGAAACGCCAGCTTTAAAAAAATTCAAGCTTGTGGCCTCCAAATTTAGTGGTAACCAAATAACAGATACGACTTAAAGATGTTCAAGTGAAATTTCACAAAATGTAAGGTTTTTTTTTGTATTTTTTCCATACAAAATTCGCTCAAAAAAAGAGTTGATTATAATAATCAAATTAAGCCGTAAATGGTGCAAGTTTTAATAAGGGGTGCAATTTTGAGCCTTAGCAAAATGACTTAGGGTTTTATGATTCGTGTTGTGTTGATTATTTCTTAACTGAATGGTGCAATTTGTGTCGCAGTATTGGGGGGTTGAAATCGTAATGAATTTTAAATCTGTTTTTCTTTCCATCACTTCAATTCAAAGCGTTTCTCCCTCTTAGAAGTCACTCCTTTTCCCTTTTCCCTAAATATTCCATTACCCAAACTGTTTCCATTGAGCTAACTTCTTTAGCAGCCCAATTGCACCTCAGACGCCCAGAATACTTTGAAGTTTCGACAATGTTCCGCTTTGATTGCCTATTGTTGTTTACTCTAGCAAACTGACTCCTATAGCACGAGTTTCCTCCGTCTTCTAGCAGGGAACTATTATAATACCTTTATTGGTTCCCAATTGAAAAAGGAAAGGTTTGCCAGTCTTCCTTCCAATTGTTAATTTATTTACTTGTATCGATTATTCGTGTCTATGATGCAATAAAAACCCTCTTTTCAATTTGTGAAGAACTAGTTTTGCGATTAGTTTGCCTGATAATTGATAACTTTGAGATAAAACGAAGAAACAAAATTCATTGTCGTTTTCAAAATGAACAGGAAATGAGACGAAATTTGCTTCAAACTTTAGCTAATTTTCCCGCGAAATAATGGAAACTATGAATTGCGATTTGATTCAAAACTCCCAAAATCAGGACTGCTCTTCGCCTTGTAACAATCAATACCAAGCGGTCGATTACAGTAAATGTATCACCCCTCCATCACCGCTTAAAGACTTCAAAGAGCTACAACTGCCCCCCTTGGGGGAGACATTTCCAACTGTAGGGGAGGCTGAAAAACAGGCAAAATTGGCAGCTGAGAGGAAAAAGTCACTGCAAAACAGCTCTGACTGTATTTGTATATGCAATAATGTGACAAATCTGGAAGATATCGAAACGTATAACCCGGATGGCTGCGGTTGTAATTGCGGCGATCCAGTTATGAATGGAAAATCATCGATCGAAGAGAGTTATGACCAGCCGGACTTAATTAGAACGACGTCTGGAAATGTTATTATCAACCGGGTCTTCTTCCAAGATCGGGTATGTCAACTGGCCACAAGGAAATTGAATCAATCCAAATTATACTTTTTGTTTAAAAATTGCCAATATTATTTGCTGTCTTTCCATTTTTTGATTGTTACCTTTAGCAAAGTCGTAGTATAGATTGGATAAAAAAATGACTTTCGTTTCGAAAAATTATATCTATAGGCCGCAATTTTTTTTTGTTTCTAATTGCGTTAGTTTCATGACAAAATGTCAATTTTTTTCAAGATTAGGTCAACCCGGGTCTTCTTCCAAGATCGGGTATGTCAACTGGCCACAAGGAAATTGAATCAATCCAAATTGTACTTTTTGTTTAAAAATTGCCAATATTATTTGCTGTCTTTCCATTTTTTGATTGTTACATTTAGCAAAGTCGTAGTATAGATTGGATAAAAAAATGACTTTCGTTTCAAAAAATGATATCTATCGGCCGCAATTTTTTTTGTTTCTAATTGCGTTAGTTTCATGACAAAATGTCAAATTTTTTCAAGATTAGGTCAACTCAAATAGTTATGATTACGATGTATTTTTGCTATGAAATTCAAAAGTTGAAAAATGGTTAAAAGAAAGTCAACCCCTTGCCGACCCAAAAGGTCCCCCCTTTGTACTATTTTGAGATATCAATTTTTGGCGATGGACCCTTAAATCTTTCTACAGGCGCCTTTGGCGCCAATATATACAAACTTTTAGTGGAGAGTGCGACTCGAAAAAACTCGGTTTTTTCCAATAATGCCTAAAAACGCCTTTTTGGCCTGTTTTTCAAAATTTCAAGAATATAGCACTAATACTTGTTGTCCCGAACAAGGAGTGGGGGGCAGAAATTTGTACTTAGATTTGTTTTTTTTTTAATCGAAAATCAGCTACCACATATAAATACAATGCTTAAATAGAGTAATATATCATGTTAAATTTTCTTTAGTCGTAACTTGGGCTGAGCTCTTATGAAAATTTTCCAGCAAGTTTTCCCAGCGCTGAGGAAAATTGTCTGAAGGCGTCCCTGTTGAAGGCCTTATGCCAGAAAAAGCCGATGAAAATGAGTTAATATGCTAATTAGGTCTAGTTCTTAAAGTTTTAGTTATCCACCCACACACACACACTCACCCTCATATACGGGGGCAGATTTAGGGTTTCCCGGAATGGCGAGGCAGACGTCATCAAGCCTCCCTCGGGGGCTCGACCTGATTCAACTTTTTTAAAATATTCGCCTGCGGTGCACAATTTTGACAAGAAGGGTCTTGTTGATAGTGTTTTGTGGACCATGGAAATTCAATTTTGTTCCACCTTGAATAGTCGAAAAAGTTTTCTTAAGTTTTTTGTTAATCTGCTCCCACCCTCGAGAAAATGCAAGATCCACCACTGCATAGACAAAAAAAAACATTGCAATTTTTCAGAAAAAATGAAAGAAAAAGGGTTTTGAAAGTTTTTTTTTCATTTTTTCTTGTCTTTTTTACTGCGGCTTGACTAATTTGGGCTTTTTGCACAGCAAGTTACAGATGTGGTTGTTTTCATTAATTTGATTTAATGCGATTTTCAGGACAGGAAGTTTCAATGACAAAGGGCCTGTCTTAAAATTTTGAGAAATGGCAGTTTACAAAAATGTTTTTAGTAAAATGACTCATCTGTCTGAAACAAAATTTCTTAAGACACGTTTTAAAATGTTTTGAATGGATAAAAACTGCCAAGCGATTTTCAATCAGGAAATATGCCACGTTTGTTGGTTGTTTTGGTATTTGTTTCAAGGAACAAAAAATCATAGCTTAACAGTTAAAGCGTCTCTGCTACTAATACCAGTTTGAAACAAAAAATTATTGTAAAATGTCTATGGAAATTTTTTTGTTAAGTAGACCTTTTTAAGACAAATGTCACTCATAAAAGTTGACTGCAATTTAATCAACTTTAATACAATTAAATCTAGTTTTGATGGCGTCTTAAGGGCCATTTTATTCCACAAAATGTTAGAAAATCTGCAATAAAGCTCTTCGCAATGTCTTTCTGTTAGACTTATTGATGCAAAAAGTTTCTAAATTTGCATTAAAATATCACATGTAATGAATGATGGCGATGCTTAACTAATTAAAAGTGTGTTCTTCAGGTGCCAAAAACAAATAATTACCATACTTAGTTCGCCTCAAGATAACAAGGCAAAGACCTTGAAGGGTAGTTGTCTGGATGAACTGTATTGTTGCTATTCTCATTGCAGAATATTCAAAGTGCAGAAAATATCCAACCAATCAAAAACTGTAAATTCTCATGCTTTGCTCTTAGATTTTGGCTGAATTCTCGTTGGCTTATATAAGTTTTTGCCATTGTGGCAGAGGAAAGGCTTCTGTTTTCTGAGGAGAAATGTACCCCCCCCCCCTCCCCTCCAACTATACTTCTCCTATTTAAGAGGAGCACTTCGCTTTTATCTTGTTACTTGTTGATCAGCTCAGTTGAATAAAAAGATACGCTGATCTATGTGGCTTTTGTTACATGTGTCTGAAATATGGCGTAGGTTGAATTCACCTGAGCTTGATTAAGTATATGCATTGCCACAAGGAGAAAAAAACGAAAGAAAGAAGCGATAAAAGGCAGTGTTTCATCTTATTAGGTGAGATCATTCTGTCGAAAAGTGATTCAGCCGAAAAAGCTGCCGAAATACACAAGTGCAGACGAAATGGTAAAATAGATTATCCACTTTTGTACAATTGTTACGATAATTTTCAATACAATCAATTTTCACAGGATGGCTCAATACAGGATTGCAAAATTTTTTGTATCTTTGTATGCAAACTTGGAAATCTTTGGTTTCAATTTGAGGCTCTTTTTTTCATGCCGATATCACGAAAAAAATTCGTGATGTTACGATGTAAATTATGAAGAACAATTGTGTTCACAATAGTTAGTTTGTTCACTTTTGTTCATTAATGACTTTTCAATTGTTTTTCAAAAATGAAATTTATGCGGGGGGAGATGTTGAATTTGATGATAGTGTGAGTGTTTTTGCAAATCAAATACTTCAGTTGGTTAATTGACCCTTCGGCTTAATGCAATAGAAGGTACTCAATTAGCAAGAGCCATCATGGACCCTATAGGGAAAACTAGAACGGGAAATTCCCACCGAGTTCCGTATCTTTAAGTACACACACACATATAGACACTCTGATCATACCACGTACTATTTTCTAACTAAATACCTGCTGCCACAAATATAGTACCAGAAATGAAAACTCAAATCCGGCAATTCAATTACCTGCCTATTTCCGCAGCATTTAATCAGGTAACTGGTGTGTTTTGAAATATATGACCAATGCTGGTTTTATTACAATTATTTCGGTCATTCATCAATCCTTTCTTTATGTATTGGCAAAATGATGACAATTGAGAGCGAGAAAATAGTAAGTTCTCATTTTGGTACTTTAAAAAAACTTTTTGGCACATTGCAACACTCCGTTGTTTTCTTCATACTTAAAAGTTTATGTCAAATTGATGGTACTATCGTTGACGTTCAGCAATGTAAATTGGTGAAAAAACGGTTACTTTCAAGATTATTTCCATTTTTGACACGGTTTTTGCGTGCTGAAATAAGTGAAAAATTGATTTCCGATGTCACATTGACCAGTTTTATATTATTTATCTTACTTTTGATTCAGTTATTGGAATTGATATTGCAAATAAATTGAGAAATTGCCATAAACTATATAAAAATGATAAAATGTGGGTTCAGATCATCTTCGCGGACGAGTGCACGGAGGCTGAGGGGAGGTCATGGCATACGAGACACTTCTGCTGCTGTGAATGTGACTGCACTTTGGGGGGACAGAGGTACATCATGCACGACTCCAAACCCTTTTGCTGTCCCTGCTACGAGAGAGTCTATGCACAGTACTGCGCCTCTTGCAACCAACTCATAGGTGGGTAGTTCTGTCACGTCATCATTTCAGAACCTCATTCGGGGTTTCTGTAACTATTTCTGTGATTATGTTCGTTACTAGGTTCATAACTGTTTTATATGCTGTGAAAGTAATAAATGCACCACTCCAAACTAAAATGTAATACAAAGAAAAAAAACTAAAAATTCAACAGCGAAATAATAGATCAGCCTATAATATACATAAAAAGCTAGTGAATTTTGAAGCGCTAATCCAAATTGATACTTGATTGCTGTTTTTCGAAATTCGCGATAATGCCATGTAAGGCATGAAGAAAAAAAATATTTTCAGATTGACATATATTTTCATTATACCAATTTTTTTCACAATTTGGCGTTGAAGGGCATGCTTCATTTTTTTCTGGTGTCATATTTAAAAATATTAATTTCAGGTGTGGACGAAGGCCAGATGACATACGAAGAGCAACACTGGCACGCGACCCCAGAGTGCTTCAGCTGTTTCCGGTGCCAAAAACCTCTTCTAGGCTTACCTTTTTTACCCAAACGAGGTGCAATATTCTGTTCACTCATGTGCGGAAAAACAGAACTGAACCACTCTATGAACAGACATAACAGAATAGAAAGTGGGGGTATGAGTTTGAATAATAGTACACTCAGTAATGTTATCACCAGCCAAATATCTCACCAAAATTCACCCACCGCAATCGCCATCACCCGAAAAGACTCCAAATCCGATCACTCTTCCGAATCCGGTTCGCAAAAAAAGACCCAACACCTCAAAACTTCATCGTCCTTAGAAGATATTTCAACCTCTGTACATATTAAACAATTGCCTAAACTAAGTGTAGAACACAGTCTATTAAAGAAACCAAATTTCGCTACTTCGAAAACATCAGACTCGCCAAAAACGTTAATTAAACCTTTCAACTACACACCGCCCCGAAGTTTACCATCAACAGCCATAAGTACCGTGCCAACGGAAAGCAGTCAAGCCGCCGACAACACTTTATCAACGACTGCAACATCCGATCAAGCTCCGACAGCTCCGAATAATACACCGGCGAGTCCCAATCGAAAGCCCCCAACAAACTCATCGTCGAATACTCCGACTACTACAAGTCATCAGTTGCACCCTCTTCAGATCAAAGACGAGGACAACGACAGTGCTATTTCCTCTTACCACAGTACCTCTGACTCAAACACAGGAACTGTAAGTCCTCAAGATAAAGTACCCACAAGTCTAATCGGCCCTGCAGTACCTGTCGAAAGCCCTCCCCCACTACCCCCGAAGCCCGCTTTTATGCGAGCGGCCGCGACATGTCATAAACCATTACCTTTGAAGGCCTCGGATAATACGACTTACTTGAACGATACGACTGCGCAACGAATTTTGGCAGGTGAACTGGATTTCGAGGACGGAAGTATGAGCAAGTCTTTTAGCTACAGGTCTCTACCCGACCTGAAGAAATCAAATCTGAAAAACAGAACTGAAAATGCTTCGTCGCTTTATTCGTCGACGGCCAATAAGAACGTGAGTTTCAACCCTTTTGTGACCGAAAGATCACGAAGTAACTCGTTGCCGAGAAGCATCGGATCCGAGGACGAATACGAACTGTCTGGAGCTCACTCGGACTCTGAAGATTTCCGACGCGAGTCGAGATCACGAAGATCTGCCGAATGGAAACACCTCTCAGATCTGCGGGACTTTTCACGCGAGGAGCGACTGAGGTATCTCGGACATAAAGATCATTCGGAATGGCTGGAAGAAAGGAGAACGCATCCTTATGGATACTATACGGATAGTTCGAGTTCTTCGAGCGATGACGATGATGTCTACTGGCCACAACATGCACGTCCGGGTGGCGCAACTGTTAGTTCGCACCATACTGTTCACGGTGCACAAATGAACATGCGTCGGAAAAAGAAAGCGGGACGAAAAAATAAATGCAAAATTAGCTGACCAAAAAATATGGACTGAATTTTGTTTCTAATGTGACAAACAAAATTTGCAGCACAAAATTTGCACTCAGGGCTGAAAAATGGTTTAAAGTTAGATGTAGAATTACTTATAATTTCTTAGATGCTTCTTCCCAATACAGCACAATAAATAATAGAGCCAAATCTCAGTTATAATTTATCAATGTGAACACAAACCTCGAATCATAATATAAGCTTTCGGAGTTGTCAACTCGGAAAACGAACCAAGTGCAATTAAATTGGTAATAGAACAATAACACAATTTGATATCAATGACTTTTATAGTATCTATATTTTGTTTATTTTTCACCTTTATTTTGTTCCCTTTTTGTATAATTTATGATGCTGGAAGTTTGAAAAATAGTTTCAGTCACTGCTCTTTTTTCGAAGTTTCATCGTTTTGAGTTTCATTTGTTTCTGCTAAAGTTTCCTCCGAATTCGTTCGTTTTGGCTCGTTTGTAGGCTCCTCATTAAAATAATACCGGTCCAAAATGATCTCCAGTAAATACAGGAAACCCAGAAACCCAATTATACAATAAAAATAATCAAAGGTTGAATCGCTAAGAGATAAATGCGAAATCATTTTTCAGCTTGAATACTTCTCGTATACTTTTTTCAAAAGCAGCTGAATTTATGCAAGGTTTGTTAAATTTTAATGAAGATGAAAAACGCGGTTTCATCAGCAAGTGCGATACAAGCACAGGAAGCGAATATTTTGATCGTATTAGAAAAAAAATTTCCCGTTTAAATTTAATTTAGAAAAACTAAGAGTGAAAAAAATGAAGTGATTTAACAACAAAATGGTTTTGAAAAAAGTCAGAAATTCAGAAGTAAGGTCAAATTTGAAATTTCGACTCTTCTTAAAAACTAGCTTGCCAAATCTAAGTTAAGGGTTCAATTGAATGGGTTGAATGTGGTTTAAGAAATTACTCTTTACAGGGTCTGCGCACTAATTTTTCTAGAACAGCAATGTTGGACTCAGCAAAGTTATGTTTGTTTGGAATTTTTTTTATTTTCTCGAAAACTAACTTGCCAAACCTGAGGTCAAGGTTTCAATCGGAAAATCAAGCTGTATGGGTATTCGCTGCATAAACGAATTTCTCCAATTTTGGTCAGGAATCCGCTATAGACTTGGAAAAATTTTCAATAAACAACCGTGCCAATTCTGAAAAAAAGTCAATCGCAGAAAAATTTTTTCCTGAAAAAGCGTGTTTTCCGTACTTTTGATTGGAATCAGATATGAACTTAGTAAAGTCCAATTTTTAACTTTTTGAACTTTTTGAAAACTTCGCATGACCTTTTGCATCAGTATTTTTTAAAAACTTTATCAAACAGGTACTTTTAGCTACAGCTGGTCTCCTAGTGCTTAACAATTTTTATGCGCCCAAGGCGCAAATACTAGGTCGTGTGACTTTTAATCTCCAGGTCTTGGGTTTTAATTTAGCACACAGCAAGTTTTTTCATAGATATGCGTTTTCCTTTTTGAAAAAAAAATTGAAAAACATTTTAGAGCTACTTTTTGCTTGTGTTTGCAATCTGCAGCTTCTTCTCTGTGTTTACAACGTTTACGAACAGTTTGGTTATTTTAATGTAAGATGAAAGCTTGATAGATTTTGATCGTTCTTTGTCAATAATACTTTTTTGTTTTCCATTCTGCTTCTTTTGCACAAACTTCCAGCAAGTCAATCTAACTTATATTAGGGGATTAAAAGTATGCCGATTATCCGAAAATGGGTGTTCTGTTTAAGTTTAAAAAAAATTTTTGGACAAATAAAAAATGAAACAAATGAAAAGTCTATTAATGCAAAATTGTAATTTGTGATTTTAAAAAAGCATTCAATAAATTCAAGAGCGGTTGTCTCTTCATTTCCAGTAGAAGATACCATCTAGTTTTTGTGATTTCTTTCATAATAACTGTATTTGCGAAAGCCAGTCTGTTGTAATAGATATTTTTGTTTCTCGATTTTTTTTTAAATCTATGAGAAACATGCCGTTGCCGACAATTTTACGAAAACGTTTTGAAAAATGATCGGTCGTATGGTTATTTGCTTCACATTACGTAATTAGAGAATTATTTGGCTGAAATTTTTCATAAAAATTTATCTGACTCTCTGAGTTTTAAGTTTTTCTTTTATTTTAATAAGTTCGTAATACGAACTGTTTCGCCCAGTTTTTAAATACCTTGCTAAACTAAGTATTATTAAAAACATTTATAATAAAAACTAAAATTTCATCGAGAAAAAATTAAAAGAAAAGCACAGCTTTTGTATAAGTGCTTACAATAAAATTTAGTTCAGCATGGTATTTAGAAACTGGGCTAAACAGTTCATATTATGAATTTATCAAATTTTGCATTAGAGAACTGTTAGTTTATTTTTTGAATACCACCTGTTTTATCAGTATCTTATAAAGCATGGTCTTCTCAGCGAATAATCACACTCACTTTATCCTGTTTAATTTTCAATGAAACAATGAAAAATTTGTGTTTGTTGTGGTTTTTTCAATTAGACTTGAGATTTTAAATTACAAAAATGTAAACTATTCTCGAAATTGATAAGCTTTTCTATCTTGCGGTCTCAAACAGTCTTCCCAAAATTTTGAATATAATTTTTTTTACATGTTTAATTTGCTTTTCTATTAATGAAAGTCCCTGTTATTTCATCTATGGGTTTTTAGTTTGTTTAATTCTCCGTTGCTTAAAATTTGTGTTTTGAACGATATGCGTGGCTTGAAGGACTTTGCTGAAAATTGCTGATATTTTGGGACAGTGGTTTTTAAAAATTATTTTTTTTTGTTTATGTTGCGTTTTTTCAACTTAATTTTAGGCAACGATAAGAGATTTTGAAACACTAAAATTTTTTAATAGTGTCAAAGTTAATCTTCTATTGCAAAAAAAAATCAGAAAGAAATGTAATTCTAATACTGCTCAACGAAATAGTTACGAACAAGCAACTAATGGAGGTTTATCATCTCCAACTGCTTAAAATCAAAATTTCAAAATCAACGAGCCTAATTGTTTGGTATTAATTTCAACAAGAATAAAATAAAATATTTCCTCAAAACGCAGGTTGCAAACAATTGCCTTTCTTTTGGTTTCTGTTTTGTCGAAAAACAACAGTATAAAAATTTTCATTTTAGTTTTTGAATTGATTTTACGCGGGAAACATTTTTATTATTATTTCTGGAATTAGGCAGACTGAAATGAAGTTTTAAAAAGTAAACACAGCTGTCAGGAGAGCAATTAATTTCAGATAGTTTTTAAAAGAACCATTAGTTAAGCCAAGTAATTAGTTTTTTCCGACCACTTTCGATCAGTGGGAAGGAACTATGGCAAAAGATCATTTTTTATTGCTTTTGTTTCCAGTTTTTTTACCTCAAAGAAAATTGGTAAAGAATTAAGTGTGGTATCATTTTAAAGCCCCAATACTCGTCATTTCGTTGCCAGAAAAACAAAGAAATCGTCTCAGTGTCGAGAAATTTTGCCCTGAATATTTTCAGTTTTTAGAATAAATGAAATTAAATGATGAGACGTTAACCTCCCAATATATATTAATTATTTTTTAGTATTAAGTTTCAACGTTATTTTAGCGTCGTTGCTTCTGAGTATTTCAGTTTTTCATAACTAACGTTAAGAAAAAAAAATCAAATTAAATTTGCTATTTTTTTCGATATGATTTCCGGATCAAGTAAACAGCTCAATTTGTAAACAGCTCAATTTGAAACAGATCAATTTGAAATCTGTATTAAATGAGATGACCGGAATATTTGTGCTCGGGGTGGGTTTTTTTTTCTTCAGACATATTTCGACTTTTTAACTAGCCATTTTTGACGGAAATTTTTTATATCATTCAAAAGCTATTGTTGTCCTGAGCTTAAATTTGAAAAGATATTTCACCTGTGATCATTTTTCATAAAGTTATGAGGGTTTAAAGATTGCCATTTTGACCAATTTGGGACAATTAACGCGCGATTTAATTCGCGCTATTAACGCGTAAGCGGCGATTTAATCCGTCTTAGAAATCGTTCCGAATTGGTTGAAAGAAGCTTATTTGCCATAATTAATTTGTTACAAGGAGCGAAATCTATTGTTTTGTACTTTATATGGCGTGTGGGGGAATGATTTTCATAGAAAAATTTTCAAATTTTACAAAAAAAAATTTCATTTTTTTTTCATTAAATTTTTTAAAGTTATTACTGCTTCAAAAACCTTAAACGGCCGTCGGAACATCCAGGGCTTCGCCCTGATACGAGCAGTCTTGTTTCTTTATATCCTTGAACATCTAAAATATGTAAAAACATTTCCGCTGATGCACACTGAATTCATATATTACTACCCCACAATGAATGTCCGTGGCTGTGTCGCTGACCGTTGACATAGATAGTATTGTAGCAAAGACACAAAGGCACACGAACACATCAAACTTCTAACACGCGTACTATTACTTTTCCCATGTTTAAATATTGAGTATCAAAGAAACATCGAACAATTAAACGAACAACGCTATGAACAAATATCAATTCAAAAATAGATTTCGTTTATTTCAATTGTAATTTGTCTTCAAATTTTCAGTCTTGCAAACTTTTTAAACTAACTAAAGAGTCAAAAACAGTTTCAGTTTCCATCAACAATACAGAAACAAAAACTAGTTTAAAAGTACCGGTAAAATCAATACTTTATAGAATCTCATTTTTCAAACTTCCACATGGAGAGAATATATCAACTTTTAATCAGAATCCAAAAAAGGCAAATAACAAAATAGCATCCACTTTCACTCTTTTTTGGCGATTTTATCCATCATTAAATTATCTCATTTAACAAACTATGCACTATGTACTGCAGACTACAAGTAAGTTTTGGAGAATTTCACTCTCAGCGATGTCTATCTCATTTAACTAGGCCGCAGATAATATTCTTTTGGCACTGATACCTTAGGGTCGTCCGAGCCTCCATGCTACTCCCTTTTGCGTGCCTCATGTGTTGCTCTATCGACTGTATCCCTTTTCACTAAGACGCAACAAGTTCGATAGAGATAACTGAATTCAACTAAACAAACAGAAATCCTGTCAATTGGCTGAGAATATAGTTTATCAACTTACTTGAAAGTAAGGGTCCACGATCGCTTTTGACAATTTCCTCTAGCAATTCAATAATGAATCATTTTGATTTCTGCCTTTTTTTCTGAAATGCTATCATCAATACGGTAGCTTTCACAATTTGACCCAAGCAAAAAAAAACGTCTTACGATCCCAATCAACAAATTCCTGACTTCCCTGAACTCTAACCCTCAGTTCAAATCAACCTCCAAACCATGATATGTTCATTCAGTGTGCCTCCCAAAGTCCTCATTTTTATTATCCCGTAAATGTTTCCACCCTCCAGGGATAGTATAAGAACCTTTTCATGGGCACCTAATTCGTTTCAACATCTCATCTATCGTCTATTCAAACGCTGACCTTCTATATCAAGGGGCGGAGTTCGTCTATTAAGGATCAAATTGAGCTAAAAAAAGCACTCGTTGGAGCTCAGGGAACTTCCCGCACAATCATAGTTTGTAGGAGAATAATTTCCCATGCAACGCTCCTATTAATGCCAATTTCCTCTGGGACTTATATGTTTTGGTATAGTTGAATTGCTAATAATAGCTGAACTATTTTAGCTAAGCTCAACCCAATGTTTACTAAAACCTCTTTAATAAGTTCTTCTACTTCAATACCTTAGACAACTTAGACGAAGAACAAATGTTCTCTTAGGCCCCAAGGATGCGGTTAAACTCCCTACAGGTATCTTTCATCCACCGTTGTTCCCACTAAATGATCACATTTTATCCACAGTATCTAGTGCTAAGGAATATATCACTTTCCGGTGTTAATTCTGCGGCTTTTTACATAATTTGGGCCAAAACGTCAAAAGGTCATTTGAAGGGTCAGCCCACCGGAGTCACCCAGGGTCAGTCTCTCGTATTTCGGGTTAGATTTACATGGGATTCCCACCGTTCGAATTCCATCCATATCCCATCAGTACTACCAATGTTATCCCATTTTTAGGTCAGTTATCAGGTTTTGGTAGACAGGACTGTCTACTGCGGAAGGAACCAATGAAGGGGTTTCATTCACAAGGATTTTTTTCAACAATCCTATACTACAAGTAGATGTTGATGTACAGAACAACTTTTTTTGATTGAGCTGTTATTGAAGCGAAAGATAAAAAAAAACGTTTCATATAATGCCAGGCAAAACTGTTCAACGAACATTTTTTCGGTCTAGTGTTTACTTCATGCAGGAGGAGTGCAAAATTAAAAAAAAATTGTTAAAAAAATGTAATAATAACTTTTTTTCATATCAGAGATTGATCAATAGGTATTTGCCATTTAACATATTTTTGATATGCAAGGAATTCAAAAGGCCTGATAGGCTCAGTCAGGTGATGCTTTAATTAAGCATCCTAATTTCATACCCAGGAGTTTCACTAAGAAGTTTCAACTATAAGGTACTAAAAATTGTCCGAGCCCTACAAATCACTTCAAAAAAATCTACAATTTTGTGTATGATGTATAAATCACAAAAATTATAAAAAAAGTTTTTTGTTTGACTACTATTAAGATTGCTGACCGTATCTGAACTATAATTTGAACAAAGTTGATTAGTTTTCCAATCGGTACATCTATTTTTTAAAGACTCTTGCCAGCGAAATTATTCGTTGGTTTGATTTTTGACTCTTTTATTTTGCAATCTCTGAGTCCAAATTTGAATTTTGTAGGAACTTAGTTTTCATAGCCAAATTTGCTATAAGCAAAAAAGATAAATAAAATTATTTGGACGCTTTTCAATAATGTTCCAAGAAAACCTTTGTTCCAATTTTTCGTTCTGATTCTCTAGCGTAACAAAAACAGACAGAAAGTCGTTTCTCCACCAATAAACGTAGAATTAAGAAATGAATGTATCCATTTGCTGTAACAGTATAGCCGACTAAATCAGTCACTAAATCAGGAACTTTAATTTTTTTTAAAACTGAATCTTCATTTACCATTTTTTCTTCGTTTATTTAAGTCTTTGTGTGCTTTCTAAATCTTTTATGGGATACATTACTTACGTAGTAAAACATAAAATATGATGATTGAAAAATTTCAAGCAAGCACAAAGCAACATTTTTCAAAATTCTCCTCGACTGAAAAATTCTGTGCACCTGTCACAGCAACTGGATACACTAAACTCTAGATTACGTTAATTGTTCCGACTGTTGAAGAAAGGTCAGAATACTTATGCTTGTTTATACTTAAGTGTTTTCCCTTTTACCCTTTTGGAACTTAAAATACAAAAAGATTTATATATCTTTTTGTATTTTAAATTGGTTTCTGAGTTCTCCCATATTGATTTTCTGAGCTCCCCCAAATCACTATAAAGACCCTATTTTGACCAATTGTTTTGCGCCACAGGCAAATTTTTGAAAAAAAAAACAGGCCAAAAAAGGCGTCTTTAGGCATTTTTTGGAAAACTTTGATCAACAAATCGCGTTTTTTTTGGCACGCTCTTCCTCCTCAAAATTGTTAAATTTTGGCCTCAAAAGCTCTTTTGTGAAATATTTAGGTTCCGTCAACCAAAAATGGATATCTCAAAAGGGTGCAAAGGGGGGTCGAATCCAAGAGGGAGGAGGAAGGTGTCCGCAACCTCCCCCCCCCCCCCCCCAAACCCGCTGGTATATATATACATGCGCCGATCTTAGAGTTTCTCGAGGGGGCGGTGTTTCAAAAAACTTCGAAAGTTAAGCCGACGTTTTTTAGGTCGACTAAGTTGTTCCATCTGACTAAAAATACCCTATTTTGACCAAATCCAAGTTTGCGCCGCAGGAACATCATAACTTCGATTCTGCAATCGTTTTGTGGATAAATTGACATGTTGCCAAATACATGTTGTAACTTTAACGACGCGGCCGGATAAAAACACCCAGATTTGTTTACCCAGACGTCTCGATAAGCAAATGAATTGAAATTTATTAACTTCTTTTTCTCATCAGAGACCAATAATAAACTGTGACCTTGAACAAACCTTATGAATCCATTTTGAAAGCATTACAGCCAGACACCATCAAACTGCAGACAAAACAATAGTAATCAGCTATTATCATAAGCGGCCTAACTTTTGGTTTATTGTTATCAGTTCTGATAATACCAGGCAAATTTGGTGATTATTTGAACTCTCTTTACCTTCAATTGCGTGTTTCTAGTGTAATAATGATCAGAGAAACAATCAATGATTTCTGAAGTTCTTTATTGTTGATGGAAATTTAACTTTCATTCAAAATCAGACCTCAGTTTTTTGCAAAAACTATTCGCTAAAAACAGTTTAATTACGAAAAACATTTCAGTTCGAAACTCACGAGGAAAAATACGGCGCGAAAACTGGTCCATTGATTTCGACAAAATAATAAGAATCTTTTGGTATGGCTGATTTTCGTTGGAACTTTTTGGGTTCGAAGACTCTTCTTGTTGTTCAAACCGCTCTGCTGGTCATACTTTTAGCAGCAGTGGTAACTTTATTGTACCTTTTTCTGACGAAAAACACCCAGACAGAAATTGATCCAGAGTACGCTGCTGCCAACTCAAAACTATTCGAATACATGAATTTGGAAGCGAATCCGTGCGAAGATTTTTTCGAATACACCTGCGGAAAATTTCGAGACGAGTCCATGTTCGGTATAGGCCAATTTGACAATTTTGCTAAAGTGCATTCAAAGCAAAAGACAATGAGTATTTTACCGCGACTATTCAATAAAATTGTAGAGCAATCGGAACAGTCGTGCGAGTCGGAACTAAAAATCAGTCATCTATACCATAGTTGCATGGACGAATTTGCAACTTTAGACCAAAACGGGTCACTTAACATAACATTCATGAATACTACGGAAACAAAACTGGTTGAAATTGTTCACGACATGTTCATGAAAGAGTTTAAGTTTAACGTCTACAAGTCGACTTCTGATGATAAATACAATGGTCCACTTGACGTAATTTTGTGGCCTCAACACGACGCTTACTTAGACCCCTTTCTCTCGCCTCTTTTTTGGGTTCGAGCGGCAGCTGTTAACGAAACATTGCTCGCAGAAACTAGTAATATTCAAATACGGCATTTGTCAATTGATGAGTTGCAAAATTTTCTGCCGATTACCCTGGACGAAATTAGCGGAGACGCTTCAATTAACGAGGATTTGTTTCAGTTTTCGTTGGATTTAATATACAAATTTCAAGAGAAAAACTTTGTCATCGACCAAGAAGGCAAAGCTGCTTTAGACCAATCGCTGCATACGTCAATTAACGAGCTTTTAAACATACTACCGAAAGAATTAGTAATAGACGCCAACACCGCTTCGCAATCCGAAAAAAGTTTCCTTTTCGACAATTTTCGAAATCTTTTTCCAAAATGGACAACTGACAAATACAATACAACAAATGATGACATAACTCTGGAGCTTGCAGCAAATTTCTCGACATATTTCGAACCCCTGAAAGATTCTTCGGTTTTAATGAATCCCAATAACTTCATGCAGCTCCAATTTTTTTCAACAGTTTTTGTTCTTATTAATAAAACAACCTATAAGCATCCTTTGACTACAAGAGAACGTGAAATATACTGCTTAAACTCCTTAAGTGATTATTTTGACTTCTCGTTTGTTGCATCTAACGCATACATGAAATACTACACCGGTGAAAAACTGTTCCACGTGTTCGAAGACCTCATCGCAAAAATTAAGAGTCAGATTTTGGAAAGATTCGAAAAAGTTTCAAACGATACGACGAGATCTGCTTTTAAAGAATACATTAAGCGAATTGATTTTCGGCCGAAAATTGATCAGCTCGACTGTGACATCACAGATGTTTTACTCGAAGATTTTGAATCTGACCCAGAAAAGCTTCAGCCATATGCCCAAACTTTTCTGAGTTTGCGAAAATTGTATCAGTCGAAATACCTGAAGATTGGTAATCCTAGAATCTACAACATGGCACTTGAATTCAATGCGTTTTATGATCCCTATCTTCATCGAATTTTGCTGTTGAGCTTTTTTCTCGACACTTTGTTTTCTGACCAGAAACACGTTCCAATGAATTACGGAGACATAGGGGTTGTAATAGCCCACGAGTTCTCGCACTCTTTGGATCCAAATATAATCTCATATTTCTACATGCAGGAGCTTCTCGACTCAAAAACTAGACTTGATATGAATGATTTCACGAACTGTATTCTCGAACTATTTCAGGCAGAGGGAATATCGAACAAATCTATAGGCGACAACTATAGCGACATTATGGGAGTAACACTATCTTACGAAGCAATGGTTAAAAACGAGAATCTAGAAAAACTCGACGAAGAGCTTCGCAATTCGCCTATTCTGAACAGATTTTCAGCACGCGAATTATTCTTCGTGTCTTATGGCCAATTGTGGTGTTTCGCAAGCGTGAACGAACGGAAGGCGTTTAATCTCGGAAACAAAAGCCATGCTCCGAATTGGGCTAGAATCAACGTGGCGTTGTCGTCAATTCCCGAATTCGCGGAAACTTTCAATTGTAAAGATGGGGATTACATGGCATCAAATCAACAATGCAAACGATGGCCGTAAACTTTCAAATATGATTATTTTATATGGAATTATACTAGCTTTCAAAGTATCTAGCTATGAAATAAAAGCATCTGGCTGAAAATAAAAGTATCTAACTAATAAATAAAATCAAAATATTACAAAAAAATTACTTTTGAGAAGTGATTAGAAATTCATTGCAAAACAGCGAGACAGCTATCCTTGCATTGCCAAACACTTTGCGATAACCGATACAGACTATGCTAAGTCAGGTTGACTTTAAGAAAAACAAGACTGCTCGTATATCAGGGCAAAGCCCTGAATAATTCGACTGCCTCTTAATCTTTATCTAATAATGTTTTTTGGGATACACAGGATAGAGCATGTTTTGATGATCGATCCCCCAAGTTTTGTAGAAATTAAAAAAAAACATACTTAGGCCGTGTTTTTGAATCCTCTAAGGCTTAAAAAAATTTCTTCAGGGAGCCAATTAGATACTAGATGCAAATTAGGATAAATATAAGTTTGAAGAATCAGGTTGCATTATAACAACGGTTTTCAGGTTTTCAGCATTATAAACTAAAAACTGAAAAGATAGGTTGTCAACATTATAAACTAAAAACTGAAAAGATAAAACAATTAGTTTATTTGTGTGTTCAAAGTTCAGAAGAGATGTTGAAATTTATCAAAAAGTTAAACCAATAGCAGGAACTGTACAGTGACAAATATTTATCAAATCAGTGCCAGCTAAATTTAATGCAATTGCAATACAACTGCAGCTGGCTCTCTGTCAGGTTGAATAACTCTCTAGTCTTGGACTGATTACGCTGACTCAAGGTTGATTGTCTCTGCCATAGAAGAATAAGACGTGTTGCAGAGCTTTTAAATCATGTCTCCTGCTTTTTTCAAGAATTTACAATACATGATATAGTATGCAAGCAAACAGATTCAATGGATTACTTTCTTTTAAAGGGAAAAAACGAAAAGCAATAATTGAGGTTTTGGAGGAGCTGAAACAATTAATCCTTGGGACTCGCCAAAAAAGCATCAATCAAGCCTTTCATACAGTCTTTACACGGGCCATTATCGAAAGCTGCTTTTTCCACTTTGCGCGAGCTGATCGGAGAAAGTTTCAGGAGCGCATTTTAGTCTACTCCTAAAAAGTTTTCTGAATTTTAATTCAACTTTCAACTACTGAATGTTTCTTGACAACATCGTAGTTTGCAAGTGCTCTGCAAAGTGCTTGTATAAAATATTCTAAATACTCTTTTCAAAAATTTATTCAATATGTTTAGTAGTGATACAGGTCGGTAGTTGTCTACATTTCGCCTATTTCTTTTTTTGAACACTGCTGACACCCGCGTGTCAGCTTCTATCTTATTGATATTTTCCTGTTGCGCTTGAGATACTTAAAACTTTTGTTCATAGTGACTGCCACTTGCTTGTCAGTTTTGTAAAAAAAAAAGATTGATGAGAGCCCGTCCGGTCAACTAATTTTGTCGGATCTGGTGTTGCTATTATTTCGTGAAGAGTCTCTATCGAGACGCTGAAACTCGTCAATGTTGGGTTTTTTTATTGTTATGTCTTCAACATTAAGTTTACTTTCGAAAAGAAATTATAATTTATTAGGAAATAAAACATCCAACATGTCTACTTTTTCATTTTGACTACTGCTTCTTATTCCATTTTTAATTATTATTCTAGAAAAATTACAATATTGGTCTAAGCTTTTGAGATTTGTCTCAAACAGTTTTCCTGATATCTAAGTCCGTCAATTGTGGCAGCTTCAGTTGTTTTTGCTCCTAAATTATCAACCTGTCTCGCTTCCTCTAGCTTGTGGGTTTTACGAGAAGTAATAGTTGTTTTGAAATTAGAAATGCTAATTCAGAAATGCTTGAAGAAAACCATGAAAGAAGAGTTTGTTTATATCGTTCTTTGTGGAGCTGGTGAGATCATCACAAAATTTATACAACTATTCTTTCATTTCATCTACATTGGTATAACAGCTGCGCTCTAAAGATGCAGATTTCACCAATCTACTCAGTTGTTCAGAGTCTGCATTGCGGGGCTGGTTCTTAAGTTCTCTATGAGCGGCTTTCTAATTTTATGGTGACATTACACCAAAAACTTATTGGTATGTGATCTGAGCAATCAAGACTTTAGGAAATAATTTGTTTTTCTCAACATGATTACGACAGTTTCGTTAGAACGCAACATAGAGCAGGTTATTAGAATATATATTAAACTCTGTCACTTGTTTTAGTTGTTTTTCATCAAATGGGTCAACAATACTTTCCTCAAACTCATTGCTACTCTAAAGAGTCTCCCTATTGGTTTTTGGAAAGTTTATTTCTCCGCATATTAAAAAATGGTGGTTGTGGGAAAATTTTCACTCCATTTTTTTTTCAAAATTTTCTTTATTATATTCGTTAACGCATTTTTCTGTTGTTTTAGAAATCGCTGACGTCTAGCTTGTTAGCATCTCAGTAGTATATGTTGGGTTCAAATTGCGCAGGGACCGCCGATCTCCATGTATAAGATAGGCTATAGAGTAGCCGGTCAGCACCATATGTATTAAAATAGGGTATAGTTTTCCCATGTAATCAGATAAGTTTTAAGTTTCAGAGTTTCAGATGCTAAAGTTTTGTTTTTCAAAATTGTTTTGGCGCCCGATTTCACCGATATAATGTTTAAAAATCTAAACGACTTCTTCCAGCATTGTATATAGTTTTACTACATATTTTCTGACGTCTTTAGACGTTTATTATGTATTCCATCACAGTAAACTTCCTGTTTAGGGTAAGAAAAGCTCAGTCTCTTTTAGTTTGTTCATAATGGCAACTGCATAGTATTTCGTTTTGAACCCTCTATTAGTTGTTTTCAAATTCTCTGTCTCATCCATTACTTGTCGATAATTTGCCACTGGGCCATCTCCAGAGTCTTCTAATGAGCGTTTGTTCAGTCCTTTACTGTTAACGTATAAGTTTGACTTTCACTATTGTAACAACAATAAGTTTCACTACAAACGCACAAGAATTCTGTGCATCTGAACCCCTCTTTGAATGGTTTTGGTTCTCTCTTGTCAAGCTTCTTGACAAAACGGGGGAAAAGTTTGTTTTTCGCTTCTGCTCTGAAATAATGTCGACAGTCCTTGCTCCACTTTTCAGTCCATTTTCCTCGCTTGTTGGGAACTTTACGTTCATCTAGATTTTCATCTGCTCAAGCCAAATAGAGAGAATCAGTATTCATTTCAAGCTCTTCAAATTTGTTGATGTCGCAAAATTTATCAACAAACTTATAATACAGCTACACCATTCTCAACTTGGCATAATGTTGTATAAAAATTCTACTATGATTGATTCACAATGTTCTATAGTAGATACAACAAGCTCCAATTCATGCAAATCTTTAACTACAAAACTTGGTTTCTTAGGGAACTGGTTATTGATAGCTTTAAGGTTTTTTGTCACCAAGATATTTTATCATTGTAACTTTTGATCTTTTCATCATTTGATAGCCGTAAGAAGTATTTGCAAGTAGTTTCTTTATTTCGTTTACCATACCATATAAGGGATTCTCATCATCAGCTCGCCTAGCATCAAAAACAGGTTGAATGAAACGATTGAATTTTTATTGTGTATTGTACAAATCGATGAAATATTGTACTCTGTAGTCAAAGATCCAATTAAAATGAATTGTGTTATAACTGTTCCGTTGGTTAAATTGAAGCTCGATATCATCATTTGCAAATCGTTTTCTTCAGCATGTGTCTTCATATATTACCCAATATTGTTTTTGATAACATCACCATTTACGAAAGTAGTCGGAGAGTTTCGCTTCTAATTCATCTGAAAAATTCTGATTGCCTTGCACGTAGTGGAATATTGCTTAATGTCTAAAGTTTGGCAGTATTGAATTTGAAAAAAGAAGAATTTTGAAAAAAATGAGTTCTACGTGAGTGCTACTGCTTTCCTTGTGTAAGCAATTAAAGGACCATTGGTCATATCTTCTCATATTTTTCAAGCAAGTCACTATAATGACCAATGATCCCTTAAACGTTTACACAAGCAAAGCAGTAGCAAACAAGGCGTTTATTCGAAAATCAAAATACTTGTGTAAATCAATCATTGGGATTGATGCCATTCAGTTATATCCTTATTCCATATGTCAGGATACGCCCACAGACTTCTATAAGAGATCGGACTACAATGTAGAAACAAAAACTTTAAGGCAAGGCAAAATAGAGTTTTTATGTTTGAAAATATGATCAAGTCATATTTTCAAGCAACTAGACCAGAATGTAAAACTGAGAGCTACCTCACTACAGGAATACAGAAGAAAATTCATTGCTTTACGGTTGATGAATATTGCAATCATTGTGAGACGGTTTGTAAAACAATGGGTTGTAACTTCCTTTTTTGTCCTTGTCATGAAACTAGATCTAGCTTACTCATGATGCTGCTATCAAACGAGGAACCAAAAAAAAAGAAATGGAAGAGCTTCAATTTGCCTTCCAAAGAACTCTTTCTTCCCATTCGCTACTGCAAAAGATTAGAAACGAAACAATGTTTGGCTACATTCAATGCAAGCTGAGTGTTCCAAATGAACTAAAAGCAAAAATTTCCAATTGCCTACCTTTTTTTTTTAAATTGATGTTATCAAAAACGGTTTTGAAGGAAATGTAAAGACATGCGCGGAAAAAAACAATTTGTTAAAAAACAGCAACGAATTTTGATCGAGCTTAACTTTAACCAAATCAACACCTACAGCACCCATTTTCTAACTCGCTCATTTTTCTTTAATTTTTTTGATAGTTGGTTTTAAAAAGTCATAAATGGCTGACAAAACCAAAAATGGGAGATTTAAAAAGTCCAAAAGTTTTTAGTAAGAGATTGACCCTAATTTTTAAATGACGCAAAAATTGAACTGAAGTAATAAAAAAAGTTGTGCAATTGTTTTTAATGTGAAGAAAATCAGAATGGTTTTCAGACTAATTGCAGTAGCTGATATAAAAATCGTCCAATCAAAAATGAGCACTAGTT